AGGTCAGTGGCAGGTGGGCCCCGCACTTTAGCCGATTCCAGGAAAGGAACTTTCCCAGGGCGGGGCGAACGGCAGGACCCCACTCGGACGCAGAGCCGGGCTCACTCGACGGCCTGATCTTTCTCTTTGGGTTTCCTCCCTTGCAGAGGTGAAGCCCGCGGAGATCTCGCCTCCCGGAGAGGGGGGAGAGGAGCAGAAGGCTCAGTCCGAACCGGAGCAGGGGGCAGCCGCGGAAGAGAAAGAGGCGGGAGACGAAGGAGAAGGAAAGGAAGGCTGCGATGTCAGCGTCGGAGCCGCCGGCCCCGCGGACGGCGAAAGCCGCGAGGCCGAGGCCGAGGCGGGCAGCGGCGAAGGCGGAGAGCAGGGCGGCGAGGAGCAGCCCCCGCGGGCCGCCGTCGAGGGTCCCGAGGCCGCAGACTGGCAGTGGCGGGCCCCCCGCGCCAGGTTCACGCAGGTGCAGGTGCAGGACCTGGAGCGCGTCTTCCAGCACACTCAGTACCCCAGCGCGCTCGTGCGGTAAGCGGGCGTCTCGGGTGGCGCGGGCTGCCGCGCGGGTGGCAGGCGGCGCTCTCGCGAGTCCCTCTCCTCGGCTCCGGACCTGAAAGCCCCGGGGCCTGGCGGCGGCCCGGCCCTTCCCGCACACTCGGGGCCTAGGACGGGGGCGGGGGCTCTGCCTGGTGGGAATCGATGTCGATATTTCCGTGCGGTGTTTGAATAAGGCACGTTGGGGAGCTTTGTGTGCCGCCGGTTAACATAATGAGTCGCCTGAGGCGTGGTGGAGCAAATGCAGAGTCGGAGTCTACTTTTATCTGAAGATTTTATCATCAGTTATTCATGGATTATATTTGCATTGATATTTGTATTTTAAAATAGTGGTTTTGAAAATTATTTATCTTGACTAGTGATTTTTCTGCATTCCCTTAAATTTTGCTCTTGTGAGAAAACTGTCTTTAAAGCAAGCCTCAAGCTACAGATTACAGAATAGTGTACTAGGTCGGCGCTGGGGAGTTGGTGATAAATTTTTTTTAAATAAGCTCAACCAGCGAATGAACAGCATTTTGTGCCGTCCTTTCGTATCTACTAGGACGTACTCCAACCTGTTCATCACTGATAGATTGATCCAGCAAGCGAGCTATTTTAAGGTCTAATTTAATCATAAAATGGGCAAGAGCGATGATTGAAAGTTGGTAAAGATATTTTGTCAGAGATTTTTATTCATTTTTGAAGTTGGTAACACAAAAAGAAACTGGATTAGAATTTCATGTGTTTTTGGCAACTGTGCCTCCTTTACTAATGAGACTTGGCTTTCCTTAAATGCTTTGTCAACTTATTTTCACTGTATAACCTGAAAATGTGTGAGTTTTCGTACTGCAGAAATTGGTTCTTAAAATAAGTGACTGACATTTTCCAGAAAAGAAATTTTTTAAAGGATGAAATAGCATCCTATATTCAGTTTCATCCACAACCCCCAATGCTGAACACTTCCAATTTTCTCCCCTCAGACAGGAGCTTACAAGGTGCATGGGTGTGACTGAAGACAAAGTGAAGGTCAGTAAACCTGAAAAAAGCACCTTGGCAGGGCAGCCATTCTAAAACCTGGTTTGGGACTTGGACACCTTTGTTCTGGACATTCTCACGTCGGTTTGTTTTTGTAGCCGTTTCCATGTTTGGGAAATAAGGGTTGAACTTTGGGGTCTTGGTTGGAGGTAAATGGGAAAAGTAAGCCCCAGGTTTTGGAAATTGCCCATAACCAGAAGATTTTAATTTCCTAAAGGAAAAAAAACCTACCATAGTATATTATTCCTTGTATATACAGGTGAATATATATACAAATATATATACCTTTGTGTAGACTATACCTATATAAACTTATATACTATATGGCTCTGGATTCTACACACACACTCACACACACAAGTTCAATTCCTTCTAACACTGGTATCCTTTAGGTACCACTTCTGTGTGGAGTCACACTGAGGTTAAGTCTGAAGGGGCAATTATTCAAATTAATGCACCGAGGAGTCCAATTATATTAAATTATTTAAAACCAAGCATAAGTGCTTTGCATAATGAGTGAATATATGAATACTTAGGCATTGGAGTGAGGGGATAATTCACACTCAGAACACAGCGGACGAGCAACTGATGTATGTTTAGTTAAGCTGACGCTGATGCAGAGGGGAGAGCGTAGAGTCCAAGTCCGCTCCTCCCGCAGCTCTTCTTTCGTTATCTTTTCCGCAGAGAGTGGTTTCTTGCTTTTAGAACAAAATAAGATGCTCTCGGAACTTTTGTTAGCGAAGAAAATACTTTTAGGACTTTAGAATCTTTTAGAACTTTTGTAAAACCCCGTTTTGTCAGCTGATGAGGGAGGCGCTTGAATGTCGAACAGTTACCAGAGGCGAGGGCCCGGGCTGGGTGGCACAGCTCACAGGCTTCGGGTCCCCGAGCTGTCCCACTGGAGGCAGCTCGCTGCCTAGGGCAGGGCTTGAGGGGCAGGTCTGACTTCCTTGCCCTGACGCCCGGGGTGCCCTTCTTCTTCAGCACCCACTCAGGGCTCTTCCTCGCCACCCCCGCCTCACAGTCCTGCACGGGACCCTGTGCAGGAGACACAGCTGGGGGCTGAGGGCTGGAGCGGCCTGGCTGGCGCCCAGGTCAGTCCAGGCAGGGAAAAGGGTGAGCTTCCCCCCAGCTTAGGCGGCCTCAGATGCCCTTTTACGGCAGCCTCCGTGCCTGGACCCCGTTCCTGGTGACATCCACTGGGACCAAGCAGCTGTGTCTAGGAGGGCAGGAGGTGAGACGCCCCCTCACTGGCGGGTGTCTGCACAGTAGGTGATCACTTGTTGCGGGTGCATACGTCCTTGCCTGGGGACAACCTAGGCCAGGATCAGCCCACGAGAGCCTGGCAGTGTCCTGGGAAAGAGAGCCAGAGGCCCCGTGCCCAGTGCTGCCACGTAAGGCCCAGCCTGGTGTAGACCAAGTAGGGGCTCCCAGCAACTACAGATGTCTGAGGTAGGAAAACAAGGCTGCCCAGCTCACGGCAGCCCCGACAGGGATCCCCCAGGGCTGACCTGCGCTTCCAGCCCAAGGGCTGAGGAGAAGAGGTCCCCCTGCCCCCCCCCCCCCCGCCCCGCCACACAGCCCCATGGGAGAGAGGCCGTCTCCTGCTGGAGTTTCTAAGTGTTTGGTAAAGTAGTGGAGAGAGTGGCAGCCCTAAACCCTCATTTTCTGGAATTCTTTGACATGCCAGCCTGAAAGCATTGCTAACATAGTAGGTTTTGCATTATAGCGGAGGTGGGAGGGTGAGTTGCAACCTTTGAAATATGTCTAAAGAACAAAACAAACTAAAACAACAATTTCAAACAAAGTTCCACCGACCTGAGAAAGGTGGAAGTTAGGCAAGAGTTATACAGAGTGGAACGTACGCCGTGAGGATTCCTCACACGTTCAAAGTTTTGAGACTACCAAATGCATTCATGAATAGTCTCTTGAGGAATTTCTGACGCCTGAGGCTTTTCTTCCTTTTCGTGGTACTGTTACGAAGAGATGGGGTGTGTGGAATTTGTTGGTAGTGGAGGATGACTTAGTTCAGGCAGGATTCTTACCTGTGGTAAGGTGAAATACTTATGCTCTTCCAGTGATGACTAGTTTGTGAGTCAAAGGATCAGGAGTGATTATTTGAGACTATAGAAAAGCCTAAGTTACATCAAAGGAGTATTTGGTGGTGGGGGGGAGAAGAAATAAAGAAAGAAAGAGAGGAAAAGAAGAATCAGGATGGGTTCACTAGCTTTGCTGCAGAGAGCGTGTGTGAGGGCAGTGATGGACACAGGCTGCAGAGCTGGTGGTGGGGTCTGGAAAGCAGTGCTGGCGGCCCAAGGCCACGGGCTGGGCTCACGGTCAGGTCTGGCCAGGGCTCGGGAGGCCCAGGCCTCTGCTTTCTCAAGCAGGCAAAACAATCTCAGAGGAAAAGAAAAACTGAAGTTTTGGTGGCTTGCTTCTCCTGGGTTTACGTAGTGGTCTCTTAACGGAGTTCTGAAGGGAAAAAGAGCAACAAGAAACAAATGAAGAAAACGGGAGGATGTTTTCATCTGTTTCCAAACTCTACAGCATGAGTGTCCCAAAGAAACATTTACTGGACACCCTCCCTTGGTTTGCAAGGACAGTAGGAGTTGTTTTATGAAAGCAGTATTGGAAACACAAAAGTAGCGTCAGCCTGATCCTCAGATGGCCAGCTTTGCATATCGCTTCTATTTATGCAGATTTGACCCCCAAAATGAGCTCTATTACACTGGCTTGTTTTGACTACATATTCACGCAGCAGAAGGACAAAACTACTAAGGTGGGAGAGGGAAAATGGGGCGACAGAGAGAGGAGGCCCTTGGTCTCATGGGAAATTTGCCGAGCGGAAACATCCAAAAATACTAAATATGGCATAATTCCATTAAGTGAGATGCTGAGGGGGCAGTGGAGTCCACAGGACAGGTTTTACTTTCAGTTGTTAATAGTTGGCAGATATTTAGGGGGGAGCCGTTTTGTGACCCCTCACTCACGTGGTTGTCGGCTGTCTTCCTAAAATGCAGGTTGCACCCTCTTGACTTAAGCATAAGGGACAGGATGGGGATCTCCTGGTTGATTAGCAGCTCCTAGAGGGCGCAACCTTGCTGGGCACCAGAGGCTCTGGTCCAAGGCCCTGCAACTGTAGCCAGAGTGGAGTGAGCTGACCTGGTCCTGAGCCCAGGAAGGTTTGGAGGGTGGGGCAGGTTGGAGAGTGCAGAATTGACAGAGGTGACAATGGTATGCCTCTTTCCCCCCAAACTCTTGTCTGGGCAAAGATTTTAAGAGTTTTAGTAAATTTGGGCCGAGTTCGTCTAAGCATTCATTACCCCTATAGTCTAATATTAAGGCAGTGTCCAGGGCTTCAGCTCCGCCGGTGTCCAGCAAGACAAGCCACAGAGTCCCTGGGCCCCCCATGACCAAACCTCCCTCACAATAGCATCTCCATCTTTTTAACCATCCCAAGGTTCCAGAGGATGAATGACTCTTTTTAGTCATCCTTGGGGAAAGCTTTTGTTTAAAAATCCAACCCACTCCTATTGATTGTTTACTGTAACCAAAGATGGGTTTTTCAAAATGGGGACCGTTCCCCTCAGTATGATTTTAAAAGGCACCCACTTTTTCCTATGCTCAACTCCCCCCATAACTAAGGTGACAGCTGCCCAATGAGTAGGGATTAGTGGCAGCTGGAGCTGACGGTCAGTTGTCAGGACGCAGACCTACCAGGCATAGTAGTAACAGCAGAGACAGAGTGCAGCTGGTCAGCTCCACCTGCGTGTAAGGGGAGGGGAAATAATAGTAAAGGTGGGAGGGGAGAGACAAAGCCATATGCCAGTCCAGAGCCTGGCACATAGTCGGCGCTCGCTCTTGCGGGGGAGGGCGGCTGAAGGGAGCGCCTTCAGCTACATATCCTAAGATAGTTTAGCAAGAAGGAAATAGCTTCTCCTGATGCAGTTTCAAATCTTCAAGGCACCGAGAGCTCCCTGCTGCGATTTTTCATGTCTGACATGACATGCTCAATATACTAATCAATCCCTTTTTCTCTCTGCTTGAAGGACTTGTTGCGGGTGCATACGTCCTTGCCTGGGGACAACCTAGGCCAGGATCAGCCCACGAGAGCCTGGCAGTGTCCTGGGAAAGAGAGCCAGAGGCCCCGTGCCCAGTGCTGCCACGTAAGGCCCAGCCTGGTGTAGACCAAGTAGGGGCTCCCAGCAACTACAGATGTCTGAGGTAGGAAAACAAGGCTGCCCAGCTCACGGCAGCCCCGACAGGGATCCCCCAGGGCTGACCTGCGCTTCCAGCCCAAGGGCTGAGGAGAAGAGGTCCCCCTGCCCCCCCCCCCCCCGCCCCGCCACACAGCCCCATGGGAGAGAGGCCGTCTCCTGCTGGAGTTTCTAAGTGTTTGGTAAAGTAGTGGAGAGAGTGGCAGCCCTAAACCCTCATTTTCTGGAATTCTTTGACATGCCAGCCTGAAAGCATTGCTAACATAGTAGGTTTTGCATTATAGCGGAGGTGGGAGGGTGAGTTGCAACCTTTGAAATATGTCTAAAGAACAAAACAAACTAAAACAACAATTTCAAACAAAGTTCCACCGACCTGAGAAAGGTGGAAGTTAGGCAAGAGTTATACAGAGTGGAACGTACGCCGTGAGGATTCCTCACACGTTCAAAGTTTTGAGACTACCAAATGCATTCATGAATAGTCTCTTGAGGAATTTCTGACGCCTGAGGCTTTTCTTCCTTTTCGTGGTACTGTTACGAAGAGATGGGGTGTGTGGAATTTGTTGGTAGTGGAGGATGACTTAGTTCAGGCAGGATTCTTACCTGTGGTAAGGTGAAATACTTATGCTCTTCCAGTGATGACTAGTTTGTGAGTCAAAGGATCAGGAGTGATTATTTGAGACTATAGAAAAGCCTAAGTTACATCAAAGGAGTATTTGGTGGTGGGGGGGAGAAGAAATAAAGAAAGAAAGAGAGGAAAAGAAGAATCAGGATGGGTTCACTAGCTTTGCTGCAGAGAGCGTGTGTGAGGGCAGTGATGGACACAGGCTGCAGAGCTGGTGGTGGGGTCTGGAAAGCAGTGCTGGCGGCCCAAGGCCACGGGCTGGGCTCACGGTCAGGTCTGGCCAGGGCTCGGGAGGCCCAGGCCTCTGCTTTCTCAAGCAGGCAAAACAATCTCAGAGGAAAAGAAAAACTGAAGTTTTGGTGGCTTGCTTCTCCTGGGTTTACGTAGTGGTCTCTTAACGGAGTTCTGAAGGGAAAAAGAGCAACAAGAAACAAATGAAGAAAACGGGAGGATGTTTTCATCTGTTTCCAAACTCTACAGCATGAGTGTCCCAAAGAAACATTTACTGGACACCCTCCCTTGGTTTGCAAGGACAGTAGGAGTTGTTTTATGAAAGCAGTATTGGAAACACAAAAGTAGCGTCAGCCTGATCCTCAGATGGCCAGCTTTGCATATCGCTTCTATTTATGCAGATTTGACCCCCAAAATGAGCTCTATTACACTGGCTTGTTTTGACTACATATTCACGCAGCAGAAGGACAAAACTACTAAGGTGGGAGAGGGAAAATGGGGCGACAGAGAGAGGAGGCCCTTGGTCTCATGGGAAATTTGCCGAGCGGAAACATCCAAAAATACTAAATATGGCATAATTCCATTAAGTGAGATGCTGAGGGGGCAGTGGAGTCCACAGGACAGGTTTTACTTTCAGTTGTTAATAGTTGGCAGATATTTAGGGGGGAGCCGTTTTGTGACCCCTCACTCACGTGGTTGTCGGCTGTCTTCCTAAAATGCAGGTTGCACCCTCTTGACTTAAGCATAAGGGACAGGATGGGGATCTCCTGGTTGATTAGCAGCTCCTAGAGGGCGCAACCTTGCTGGGCACCAGAGGCTCTGGTCCAAGGCCCTGCAACTGTAGCCAGAGTGGAGTGAGCTGACCTGGTCCTGAGCCCAGGAAGGTTTGGAGGGTGGGGCAGGTTGGAGAGTGCAGAATTGACAGAGGTGACAATGGTATGCCTCTTTCCCCCCAAACTCTTGTCTGGGCAAAGATTTTAAGAGTTTTAGTAAATTTGGGCCGAGTTCGTCTAAGCATTCATTACCCCTATAGTCTAATATTAAGGCAGTGTCCAGGGCTTCAGCTCCGCCGGTGTCCAGCAAGACAAGCCACAGAGTCCCTGGGCCCCCCATGACCAAACCTCCCTCACAATAGCATCTCCATCTTTTTAACCATCCCAAGGTTCCAGAGGATGAATGACTCTTTTTAGTCATCCTTGGGGAAAGCTTTTGTTTAAAAATCCAACCCACTCCTATTGATTGTTTACTGTAACCAAAGATGGGTTTTTCAAAATGGGGACCGTTCCCCTCAGTATGATTTTAAAAGGCACCCACTTTTTCCTATGCTCAACTCCCCCCATAACTAAGGTGACAGCTGCCCAATGAGTAGGGATTAGTGGCAGCTGGAGCTGACGGTCAGTTGTCAGGACGCAGACCTACCAGGCATAGTAGTAACAGCAGAGACAGAGTGCAGCTGGTCAGCTCCACCTGCGTGTAAGGGGAGGGGAAATAATAGTAAAGGTGGGAGGGGAGAGACAAAGCCATATGCCAGTCCAGAGCCTGGCACATAGTCGGCGCTCGCTCTTGCGGGGGAGGGCGGCTGAAGGGAGCGCCTTCAGCTACATATCCTAAGATAGTTTAGCAAGAAGGAAATAGCTTCTCCTGATGCAGTTTCAAATCTTCAAGGCACCGAGAGCTCCCTGCTGCGATTTTTCATGTCTGACATGACATGCTCAATATACTAATCAATCCCTTTTTCTCTCTGCTTGAAGGCTTGGTTCAAGAGTAGAAGGGCCAAGTGGAGGAGAAATCAGAGGGCACTAATGCTCAGTCACATGGCCCCCGTGCCCCCTGTTGTCATCAGCTTGTGTGAACCCTGCAGTTCCGTCTCGTTTCGCGAGCTGAAATTGATGTGCGATCTTCTGGAGCCACTGCTGATGGACCTGTCCCTGCTGCCCAGACCGCCCAGGCCACCCGTGCAGCCCGTGCGACCAGTGCCACCCGTGCGACCCACGCTGCCCGAGGATCCCATGCCACCCATGCAGCCCATGGCGCCCATGCCAACTGTGCCACCCGTGCCGCCCATGCAGCTCATGTGGCCCATGCACCCCGTGCCACCTGTGCAACCCATGCTGCCCATGCCGCCCGAGCCGCCCCTGTGGCCCGTGCCACCCATGCCGCACATGCCACCCATGCGGCCCTTTCCTCCTCTGCTGTTCCCTTCTCCACCCAGGCATCTTCCACAAGTGCTTCCCTGTAGGTGCCCTCATGCGGAATGGCCTGGTCTCTAACAATCGGGGATCCTCCGGTCGCCCCAGTTTCCTCTTGAATGGTGTCCATAAGTTTTTTTCAAAGTGCCTTTGAGCCACATTCAAATTCTGCATACCTCACCACCAAGAACAGTTCCCCAAATGCCTCAAGTGTATTTTAAATAGAAGTAGAGTCATTGACCCACTGTTTTAGGGCATGTTTTTGTATTTTCAATAAAGTTGTGAGTTCTCTGGATATTTGTTCTCTGTGTCACATGGGGTTAGTAAACTTGATGGAAATTGCTAAGCCAACGCCATTCAGACCGAATGCCCAGGAGGCCTCCTGTCATGCAGTAACAGCCCTGAAGCACCATCATAGGCCATGCACATCTCAGAAGTTTGCCAGGTGCCCGTGAGGGGTTTACACAGACCCACCTGTTCTCTTGCACCCGCTCCCCCAGCACCCATGTTCCCCGCACCCTGCCCCATTGGGACCACCTAGATGTGCAAGACGGGTGGTGTGAGTCTCGAATGGGAGAACAGGCCTGAGGCCCACTCATGGTGCCCAGCTCAGGTACAAGGAGGACTCCAAGGGACACTTCTGCAGTGACTACTTACAGAGCTTTATGGAAGAGAGGGAGCGGGGCACCGTCGGCTTCTCTCCCAGTTCTGTTCACCGCCTTCGCTGTTGTGGAGGGCACATGGGGATAGAAACCACGCTAGCGGAGGGGGAGGGGCCTACCTCTGCGAAGGTAACACAAGAGGAGACTGTCTAGGCCCGCGTGCGGCTCTTCTCACCCCCTCTCCCCCACCCCCAGACGCGGAAAGCATATCATAGCTCCTTCCCCAGCTCAGAGCTGACGGATGATGTGCCTTCAAGTGTATTTTGTCACCTTCAACATCCTTGGGAGAACCCTGGATCCAGCTATTTCAACACTGAAAGGGAGCCTCTTGGGTGAGTGTTGCCTGAAGCCAGGAGGTGGTGGTCCCTGGGCACTGATCCAGGATAATCACTTTATTTAAAAGAAGCAGGTAGGGCTTTCCTGGTGGCGCAGTGGTTAAGAGTCTGCCTGCGGGAAGATCCCACACGCCGCGGAGCAACTAAGCCCGTGCGCCGCAGCTACTGAGCCTGTGTGCCACAACTACTGAAGCCCGCACACCTAGAGCCCGTGCTCCGCCACAAGAGCAGCCGCTGCAATGAGAAGCGCCGCAACTACAGAAAGCCCGCGCACAGCCACAAAGACCCAACAGAGCCAAAGATAAAATAAATTCATTTTAAAAATAAAAATAAATAAAAGCAGCAGGTATGGGAACATATGTATATGTAAAACGGATTCACTTTGTCATAAAGCAGAAACTAACACACCATTGTAAAGCAATTATACTCCAATAAAGATGTTAAAAAATAAAAATGAAAAATAAAATAAAAGCAGCAGGTAGACCTTACCTTTGCTCATGCTGCCTTCTTCAAATGGAACTGCCAGGTAGAAAACACACACGCACGCACACAGGTACTACACAGGTATGCACCCTATATCACATGTCTGTGATAGAAGCACAAACATACCCAGAAAATACCCGGAACACAAGCAGAATTGGCTTGTGTTATTAAAATAACCCTTCTGAAATTTGTCTAGTGGCCTGTTGTCCTTGCCTTCGGTTATTTCAGGTTCGATGCTGGGAAAGAACGTGTGTCCTTGTCCACCCTGGTCTTGGGGAGGGGGAGGGGCTCATGCGGAACTGAAGCAGTGCCCATGCTGCATCGCCAGTTTATTTACACAGGCACACACAACCCTTCTTGTCGGTAGGACGACCCCAGCCTGAGGAAGCGTTTTGCTGACGGACCAAAAACTGTTTCCACGGCCAGTCAGGTTTGGGCGGTAGCACTGCAGAGGGTTCTTGGAACCTGGACACCCGAGATCTTCTCTGAGATCGGAATCGCCTCCTTCTTACGCAGTAGCAATGGTTTCAGCATCGTGCCTCCGGATGGAGAAAACACAGCCTTTCTCTGAAGTTCCCCAAGCCCAGCAAAGCCGCAGGCTCCACGCTTAGCCACCACTCTCGCTCCCATTCTAACCTCAGTCCCGAGACCTGAATGGCCTCAGCCTTCAGCTGTCGAGGCTTCAGCCCAGGCTCCCGAAACCAATCCTACAGCTCCTGCTCAAGGTGTCACTCTCAAGAGCTGTCCTGGGCACCATCTTCCCTTGTGACTCCAGGATACTTCTGTGCAAATGGCAAGTTTTGAAACTGCCTCTCGGTACGTTCCTTGATGGAGCTCTTGCTATTCTTTTCCGTTGTGCATTTTAATAGTCAGGTGCTAGAGGGAAACTGGCTATTTTCATTTATTTATTTTATTTGGGTGGGATAAGGACATCTTTATTTTGGACTACCTCGTAAAGAAATGTAGCATTTCCTTCCTCCCCCCAGTTTTACTGAGATATAATTGACATACCACACTGTATAAGTTTAAGGTGTACCGTATAATGATTTGACTTACACACATCATGAGATTATCAGCACAAGTTTAG